GATGGACAGGGTCATCGGGGGGGGGGGGGCACGAAAGCTGAATCACATTTAATAATATTCAATTCAATTCTGCCAAATGACTTACTTTGCAAGTCTGGTGGTGGGAGATTGGTGGAACGCGAATTGGTAAAACAGGACAGGGGTTGCAGGGAGAATCCCACCAATATGGAAGTCTCCCGACCGATAATAACTCCGGAACCCATCATGGTCTGCGATGAAATTCAATGGGCATTTCATCGTTGGCTTCCTGCTGGCTGCACTGGGCAGAAGCAACAGGAGCAATAATAGAGACCATAATGTACCAGCTCTACTTTTGAAAGTCCCTTCCCTTCTTGTTGAACTCAAGGTCATGTCAGGAATGGAATCTAACCATGGTTTCAACACTAACAAAGGGGGTTATATTAAATTCTACATTGACACTGTCTCTATGACTGTCCTTAATCTCAGCCTAAACTCTCCACAGTACACAATGGTTTTATTTTGGCATTAGCCTGTCCAGCCGTGATAGGGCAGGGTGTTACATCAGGCTGAATGCAGCGCTGATCAAAGATTACCTTTGGGTTTTGATCCAATCACTGTTTCTTGATAATTATAAGGTTGGGATGCATTTCCTCTCGCCATGCGTCTGGAAGCAGGTGCAGGAAAGGATGAAAAAGTCTCTAACAAGTTCCCTACGGTGAATATATACTTGAACTGATCTTTAGAGGCGTGAAGGGCCAGGAAAAGCTGTTAAGACGAGTATGTCATATACCATCATCATACAACAGGGACTTTGTATGGATTCAGACTTCTAAACATGGATTAGATAAACAATGTAAAAAGGATGTTGAGACTCTAGAAAGAGTGCAGAAAAGAGCAACAAAGATGATCAGGGGACTGGAGGCTAAAACATATAAAGAACGGTTGCTGGAATTGGGTATGTCTAGTTTAATGAAGTGTAGGAAGTCAGCACCCCCTTCCCCCAAAGAATGAAATATTTTGGCGAATATTAAAAAGAGGCAGGATAGAATATTTTCCCCAAAAGAGAAATGGAGAAATTTTTTTAGACAGACAGAAAGCTGCCCAGTCTTTCTGCTACAGGAAACCTGAAGAGCTTGAAGTCTTTAGAAATGGAGATTTTGTCTCCATTCAGAAAGATTGGGCCACTCTATTCATAAACAAAGAACAAACAGAGACTCCAGATAAGCAACACAATTAGGCAAGCCAAAAGTTGACAAGATTAGCTCAGACAAATACCTAGGACAGTGATGGCAAACCTTTTAGAGACTGAGTGCCCAAACTGCAACCCAAAACTCACTTATGTATTGTCGGGTACCGGGTGGGCGTGGCCCATTGGGTGGGTGTGGCCCACTGGGTGGGCATGGCTTCAGTGGTAACGGCAGACTGGGTGGGACTAAAAAGTTCAATCAATCAATTCCAACTTTGCGAGATCTTTTTTTTCCGTGTGAGAAGTTGAAATTGATTGATTGAATCTTTTTTTTTTTTGCACATGGCGGTGGAGGCCTAAAGCGAAAAGGTTTTATAAAACCCAGCTGAAGGCCTAGGACTGGGGCGATGGTGTGGGTGCCCACAGAGAGGGCTCTGCGTGCCACCTGTGGCACGCGTGCCATAGGTTCGCCACCACGGACCTAGGATTTGCATTTCCCCTTTTGCCTACAGAGCCAACCATGAC